CCGAAACCACCTGCTTGGGTGGGGCGGCAATTTGGCCTCGCCTGAGCGAGACCCGTAACCTCCGCAAGCAATGGCCAGAACTCTCGCCAACACCGCCATTCATCAGCCACGCGGTGCGGGCGGCGCTGCTGACTGCACGGCAATGCGCGTCCCCGCCTCTTGCGTCACGGACTCGGCGGGGTGCAGGATACCGCACACCACGACGGGCCGCATCAGAGACCGACCGCGTGGCAGTTGGAGCAAATAAACCGCCGCAGATCCTCAAATTGTGGTTCATCCGGTGTACCGTAAGTGTGAGGCATGGCGTGTGCCCTGTCGCACTGCCGTCAGGCACACCACCTTCTCGTAGCGCACAAACTCCGTCCTTGGCAGCAGTCTCCCCCTACTCTCCTGCGACCCAACGAGGTGTCTCACCAAAAGCTCTTTTTCGACACCCGTGGAGAGCCAGTGGCGGCACTTTTCAGTAAGCTAGAAAAAAGGGTGTGGACGACGACGAAAAAAAAAAAAAGAAGAGGGGCCGGGACACCGCGAAATTTCCTGCCAGCAAAGCAAGTCCAAAAGCTGCGTAAAGCTGTACTGCGCATGCAGCGAAATAACACGCTCTGAGGCGTCGGCCAAGGACGCGTTGCCAACGCCGGTCCTAAACGTCCGCAGAGGTTCCTTCTGCCGCTGAAGAAAGCGCCTGTAGAACGAACGCGTGGAACTCCGCCACCCCATTGGGATCCTCAGCTGCATGTCCTGTTAGCGCTAAGCCATATCATACTGGTGGTGCCAAATCACCTTGCACCCTTAACATGAAGTAAAGGTTGGCGGACACACGCGAGGCCTCCAGCAGGACATGCGTGTTCAAGTAAGAGAGCGCCCTGACAAGAAGCGGCTGCTGACACATTTTTATAGTTCGCCGCGGCACCTCGCCACTCTCATCGTGACGCGGCACAACAAGCTGGATTTCGTAGTAGCACGCAGAGCAAATACGATGCGTCGTGGCTGCTGCCACTTCTGGAAGTGCAGCAGTTGCGGCTGAGAATGGCACAGGCGGAAGGAGCCCGAAAAGCTGGGGGGTCCCCTCCCGCAGGCGTGTCACCGGCGAAATTCAGCCCAGCTGCGTGGGGCGCAGTGAAATCCACACCCTCCGTCCAAGAGGAGGTGCGATACGCGCGCGGGGCGTTGCAGTGATTCCAGGACGTGGTGGCGCGCTCAATCGCTCCCGCAGCACCCCACAGGGCCGTGCAATCTCTGTTTGACCGGAGGCGCGCAGAGGCCGGTGCCGGAATGCCCTCTTCGGCCCAGTCGGTACATCACACGACTCTTAACCGTGTGCTCGGGGGCTCGGTCCCCGCGGGGAATGCTTTCCCCCTCGTCCTCCGCCCCGCTTCTCCGCCGTCGCGCATTTCTGTCGCCCCGAATGCTGGGCGGCAAAAGAGGGCAGCGCGAGAAGGGCGCTGAAGCACCAGCCGGGCGTCTTGCATCGGCGGCTGTGGGCCCTCCGCGCTCATACTCCGCGCCCCCCCTTCTCCCCGGCAAACGGTCGCTAAAAAGAACGGAGAATGTGCTGCCTAAGAGAATCCTTCCCCCTTCTCCCGAAGAACAAACAAATAATAATAAAAGGAAGCTCGCAGCTTTCAGCCCTGCGCGCGTCCAACTTTCCCCGCGCATTGTGGGGGTCGTCCGCCACACACGCACTCGTGAAAAAAACACATTAAGAAAAACGTATTGCGATTGCCGGGGCCGCGGGAGCCTCGAATAGTGGCAGTTTGTTCGGGGCGCCACAACCGCCGCACCCCCTGCTTGCGTGGGTGGTGAGGGCCGGGGCCGGAATGAAAAAAAAAAAAAACTGCACTCGCTCTCCTCAAACGCAGGGCGGCCTCGACAACAAAAGGCATTTAGCCAAACAAGAATAAAAAAAAAACTCAGAAAATCTTTTAAAAATCCTATTTACTCTCATCGTGTGGCACGCTTGTTTCATGCGCCTCCACCAAAAATAAGTTTATCATCCGCTGAAACGCCTGGCCCGCT